AAGAAAGGCTGCATGATTTTACTCGCAGCATATGATAAGGAAACCATAATTTAATATTTATAATAATTTAAAAATCACACCCAATATTTTTGCCAATCAACAAACGAGGACTATTAATTAGTTATGCTATCTCTATTCTATTTTATAAGATGATTTTTGAAGTAATTTAACATTTTAGAATATAAGATATTTTAAAAATGATTTATTAATAAAATTTACTTTAAAATTATCTCTCATTATTTTACTCTTTTTGATAACATCATTATTTCACCCCTTAAATACATTTTCATCTCTTTCTCTTATTAAATAAAAGTATTTTTAGAAGTTCACAGAGAAATTAAAATTCTAAACTTTACTGTAAAAATGTCTTATAAAACAAGATAAAAGGAGTACAGTGTTAACATTAAGTAAATAATAAGAAAATAACTCAAGATTTGTTAACTGTTTAAGGGCCAAGCGTATCATCATGGGAACAAATTCTCGAAGGTTGATATCTATAGATCAATATAAATTTTTCTGTCTATTCCTGAAAAAATAAAACTTCAATAAAATTTACAGATTCTCAGAAAATTCATTCATAGTATGTCACGGAACTTTTAACTTTATTTGGCTAGGTAATGTGCATATAAATTCATAACATATTTTTTTATTATTTATTAAAAAATTTAAAATCTTTTTAATTAAAATTACCTTTAAAAATATTTCATAAAATTTTGGAGAGTGGAAAGAGCAATAGTATACTAATATTCACGCCATACGGTACCCCGGGGTAGAGGTGGGAATAAGGGCGGGCCCAGCCCTTAAGGGCTTAGGCCTTTGAGCCCGGTTATCTATTTTTAGTCCCTTTTTTGAAGCTCGGCCCTTATATAAAGGACTCAAGGTAGGGCCCGAAAGCCTTGTTAAAAAAATAAAAAAAATTAAAATTAAATTAAATATTATAAATTAATTAAAATATTTTGAAATTTAAAAATTAAAATCCACACAATATTTTAAAATTTAAACAACATATTTAGAAATCTAAACAACACACATTCATCAATCAAAATCCAAATCCTCTTTATCCTCATCATTTATAAATAAAATATTATATCTCTCGAATGTAAGTGTACTTGTTGAAGAATAAAGATGGAGGTGAAAAATTCAATGTCAATTACCTTTACAACTTCTTCTTCATTATCTACAATAAATATTGACCAAATTGTGTCATTATCAATCAAATATATTTATGTATGTGTGTATATATATATATAATAATCAGGCTTATCAGGGCTTGGAGGGCCTCCCGGGCTCGAGCCCTTTTTCACAGGGCTTATTAGGGCCAAGCCCTCAAGTCCGGTTCCTTTGAAAAAAAATAATTTTCAAAGCCCGAACCCTTATTTAAATAAGGCTTACAAGCCCAGCCCTCCAAGCCCGACCCTTATTCCCGGCTCTACCCCGGGAAAGCAGGGAACGACAACCAATCGACCCGATATGTCTAATTTTGTAATTTTCTATTCTACGGTTTCCTACTTTTTGTTGGTATATATAGTTTTTTTTTTAGTTACAAAGGCAAGCCAAAGCTTGAATTACAGAAGCAAAGAGAAACTAAGCATTCCTCTTATCCAATAACAAGATGTCTAAGCAACCTAAGGGACAGTTCCAAAGTAAAATAGTGTTCACTCTAGCAGTGTAAGCAGTCTTGACTAAGTAATCAGCACAACTCAAATTCTCTTTAGATGTTTGTTTTATGACAAGGTCCCAATTGCTGTAAATAAAATCACGAATTGCCGTTACTTCATTAAATGAAGAATCAGAACGACAATCTCTAAAAAGCATGTTGATGGCTTCCAATGAATTAGAGAATAGTTTGATTTTTTGAAATTTTTGTTGGTGACAAATCTCCAATCCTATTCTTATAGTGAGAAGTTTAGTAACTGAGATGGTTGCTCTTCCTAATTCGCATATGAAGCCCAAAATCCAATCTCCCTATTCGTTTCGAAACACTCCCCCGCAAGTGGCATGTCCTTATTGGTTAATGGAAGCATTCACATCCACATGAACATAGCCTTCAGGTGGAAGGGTCCATCTATCTGCATCATCTGAAAAACTTTGGAATATTGCATGTTTAAACTTGTTGGTACTTGAATCCTCCTTCAGCAAATAGAGACCCTGATGTATAATCTCATTAGACTTGAATTGGGTTCCTTCAAAGAGTCTTTTGCATCAAGTCTTCCATAAGAGCCAGCACATATTATAAAAAACCTTAATCCAAGGCCATCTTCCAAATTTGCTATTTCCTAGGTTGTGAGTAGTATTCCATTTGAGTCAATCATGCAAATCATCAGAGAAAAAAGCGGTAAAATCATGAGGATTAATAATTCTTTTCCCACACTCTTTTAGAAATCTCACAGTCTCGAAGGATGTGTATGATAGATTCCTCTCTATGGCACTCAAATGGACACTCATTGTTTGTGATTAGACCGCGTAAAGCTCTTAGTGAATTTGTAAGTAATCTTTTATGAGTAACTTGCCAGAAGAAAAACTTGATTCTTTCATAAACAAGCCATTTTCATATCTTCTTCCATAAAGGTTCTGAAGACCCATGATCAATAGTTTGGAGAAATCATACGCTGATTTGACAATGAAAGAACCATCAGTAGTAGATCTCCAACTTAGTTGATCAATCTCAAAGCCACTTGGTGGTTTTGATCTCTTTATCTTCTTAATCACCCATGATGGTATGACATTAATCCAATTAATGATATTCTATTGCCCAGTAGATAGCACATGCTGGTTGACCACATCTGACTGTTAATTGTGTTACAGTTTTGGTCAACATAATAAATAAGTGGTTGATCAAGGTATGACCATTTGTCCCACCAAAAGTTGGTATTATGTCCGCCTCTTATCTTTTTCCCCACACCTTTCATAAATAGTTGATGTATGATCAACCTCGACTTTATTATATTGAGGTGATGAATGATGATAAGAAGTGTGCAACTCTTGAGACCTGATTTGTACGCTTTTTAGGTAATGTTATCTAGTATTTTTTTTTAAAAAAAAAAACCTTAAGGTAGGGACTAGAGAGTGTTGCAGCGTTGAAATTGAGAAGGCAATTGCATGGTAGACTTGAAGTCAGCATTCAGTGTCAATAACAGGCTGCTTTAGTGATCAAAATTAAAACAATAGGCTGCCTTAGCGGAATGGCATAGTTGACGCGTACGAGAAATAAAATCATGGTAGCGCTGTACAAAAGTCTTTCAGTTCGATTCAATTCGAAGCAAACTCGATCACATCTGGTCTAGATGAAAATTGGTCTTTTAGGATTAAAAAGACCAAAAATACCAAACTTTTGTTTTTGGATTGGACTGGATAAGAGACCGAGCATTTGTATTAGTTGGTCTAGTCCCATAAATTTATTTAATATAATTATAATTAATTTAGTAATTATTATTGTAATAAGTTAATTTATAATAATAATTAGTATTTTTTTGTGTTTTATACTTGTGAAGTCATGAATATTGAACAGTATTCTAGCATTGACCAACCCTAATCTTCTCCTTTTATTAGTGAAATTTATTGGTGAAATTTATTGTTAATTTTGTGTAATGGACTTTAGACATATTGAAGGTTGTTTAATGTTATTGAAGGTTATTTAATTTGAATAATTTTGTGTTGTAACTAAAATACTTTTTGTTGTTAAAAATTGATGTGAATTTATTATTGTTATTATTGTGATAAATTTTATATGATTATAAGTAACTTTATTATGTTAATTGAGTTTATTATGTTAAATAAATTGCTACCTCTCATAGCTAAAAAGAAAAAAAAAAAAGTGCAATGCTGGATAAAATCAAGACCAATCTCCTAGTCCTACTAGTTATACTAGGATCAGTTCAGACCTCAAGTTGCTTAAGTCTTTTTCATAAATAGAATCAAACTTCAAGTCAATCCTTTGTGTAGCCATAAATCATAGGCAAGAAATAACGATAATGAGATTAATTAATGACTAGCAAGTAAAAATCAATGAACCTCAAAAAAGAAAGCCTGCATGATTTTACTCGCAGCATACGATAAGGAAACCATAATTTAAAAAAGTCACACCCAATATTTTTGCCAATGAACAAACAAGAACTATTAATTAGCTATGCTATCGCTATTCTATTTTATAAGTTTTTGAAGTAATTTAATATTTTAGAATATAAGATATTTTAAAAATAATTTATCAATAAAATTTATTTTAAAATTATCTCTCATGATTTTACTCTTTTTGATTTGATCTTTATTTCACCCCTTAAATATATTTTCGTCTCTTTCTCTTGTTAAATAAAAAGTATTTTTAGAAGTTCACGGAGAAATTAAAATTCTAAACTTTACTTCATTAATTGATTTTATTGATATTTGCAATTTTTATTATAAAAATGCCTTATAAAGCAGGACAAAAGGTGTTAACATTAAGGAAATAATAAGAAAATAACTCAAGACTTGTTAAGTATTTAAGGGCCAAGCGTATCATCACGGGAACAAATTCTCGGAAGTTGATATCGATACAATTTCATAAGATATTTTCTATATTTTATTATTTTATAAAATATAATATCTTCTATCTATTCTTTAAAAGAATAAAACTTCAATAAAATTTACAGATTCTCAGAAAATTCATTCATAGTGCATCACAGAACTTTTAACTTTATTAGGGTAGGTAATGTATAATATATATATATATATATATATATATATTTATTTATTTATTTATTTTATTATTTATTAAAATTTTTAAAATCTTTTTTAATTCAAATTACCTTTAAAAATTTTCATAAATTGAAGTCAGAGTCAATGCGTTCACACCATACAGTACCCCAGGAAAGAAGGGAAGTGGGGAACAACAGATACTGGATCCGATATGTCTAATTTTGTAATTTTCCATGCTATTCCCTGGCCCCTACTTTTTGTTGATATTTATCGATTATTAGTGTCGCAGTGAATACCGTGTGGCCTTTGCCAATGGATCCCCAGAGCAGTGTTTCTTCTTCTACTTCTTCATCATCATCAAAGAGGGTATGAAAATATGATGTGGCCATAAGTTACAATGATATGGAAACTCCCCCGTTTTACAAAATTCTTTGGAATGCTTAGAAAAAGAAGGTTTCAGAATCGGCAGGAGCTTATTGCCTAACCCATTTGAAATAATTGAAGAATCGCAGATTTATATAGTTGTCTTCTCAAGTAGATATGCTTTCTCCCCAAGTTGCTTGGACAAACTAGCACTAATGTTTGAGTGCATGAAGGCACCAGGCCACAAATTTCTGCCAATTTTCTTCAACATCGATCCGTCTGAAGTGAAAACATGGCTAGCTCCATTTCAGACACTACTAGATCAACGCCCAAATTTGGTCATACAAAACTCGTAAGTAATAATTGATGCTCTGTTAGTTTATATGTTGTTGGATATGGATCTGATTGCTCACATCTCTTCATCTTTACCATCTTCTAATGCATGTTCAACCAACTGATTAAATCCTTCACAATATATGTTTGGATCTGGGAGTAATAGACACAGAGGGAAGAAGTAATATATTAAAAACTTTCTGTTAATTGCATGTTTACTCACATCTCTTCTATTTCAATGAAATTCTAATTTTATATACGACCATTTCCTCTTTTTATCATTTTTGTCGTTTTCTAGCTATTCAGAACTTTTTGAAAAGCATGTAACCTCAAGATCAAGGTTAAAACGCAATTGTAAATCATCAAGGGACTTTTTGATACAGCATTAACGTAAAAAAAAAAAGTAAAAGAAAAACTCTCAGCTAGATATATAACTCAAACAAAAAACGTAAGGAATTTTAATTGTTACCCACTATTTATGACTTATTAATAATATGAGTAATCATAAGTTTTTATGTTTTATATTGATGATACTCATTCTTATGCTTGATAGAACATAAGTTTTTATATCCCCAAGTTTTTTTTTTTTTTAATCAAGGAACTATAGTTTTTTCTTCATATACTTCTGGACGAAATTGACCCAAGCGAATCATAATATACCCTCTTTCAATTTTCCTATCGGGTGGCAAGAGTACCATTATATTCTTGCTTGTACTTGTTATGATTCAGGGGTGCTTACCTTATAGGAAAGTACCGTTTGAGCGCAAGTACATTGATTTGAAATAGACATACTGAACCTCTATATATTTATCAGGAGTTAGTTATAGTTGCTTACGTTTTTGCGTAATGGTATTTTTTTTTTATTTTGTGTTATTTTTCTCTTGTTTTCTCGAGGAAAGATCAAAGACGAGTTATTGGCAAAATAGTTGCAGAGGCAAAGAAACTTTTGGTCGAAGAGACGTAAGTTACATTCTGTTAAGTTCTTTATAGTTTGTTGGGTTTGAAATATTTCTGTTCTGATCAACTTCTGTGTCTGTTCAATCTTAAATCAATCAACCTCTTATTTGCATTTTCAAGAAGGGTAATAGACCAAAGGAAATAGGCAAATTATAATTAATTTGCAAGACTGTTTGGCAAAGTTAGATAGGGGTAAGATTTCCATATCTCATTTAGGTTTTCTTTCAAGGAGCGAGAGTTTTCCTCTTGTTTAAACTACCCAAACATCTTCTTCCATTACTAATCCTTGCATAACACAAAGGTTTGGGAAGCAAGTGTGGTTGAATGTTAATTACTAGGAAACTATGGTTTCAGATTCGCAATGGATGTCCAGAGATGTGTAGGGTCGTCGTCCAAGGAGATATGGCCATGGAGCTGTGATGTGTTTGTATTGAATTTCATAACTGAGGACAATCGCTCATTTGTTGAAGACCTTCGCAATGCTCTACATACAAATGGTGTAGTTATGGCTTCACGAGATTCTATTGCTCAAGCTCCCATGGACAAATACAAGCTTTGTGTTTTTATCATCTCAAAAAATTGTGGGGCCCAAACACGCTACTTGGAGGAAAACTTAAAGGGATGTGTAAATTTTCTGCCAATCTTTTGGGAGCGGACTCCTTTCAAGTACATAGGGATAGTTATTTGGAAATGGAACAAAAGTTGGTGCTACGTTCAATAACAGAATTGGTGGTTCGAGATAAGTAAGACCTTCTTATATAATTATATTGTTCTGCATTCTTTTTTTTTTTTTTAAGTTTTTCTTCCTTTCAAAGGCTTTTTAAGGATAAATTGAAGTAGAGAAAAGGAATAAACTATGATTGATTTAATTATCATTTGATCTTTGTCCTCTTTCTTTTAATAGCTCCTAGCTTGGAAATACATTTGTTCCTTGACTTTCGTGCGCCAAATTATCAACTCGTCCTTTGGCATAGAAATTTTTTAATTTAACAAAATTAAACATTTATTCTAGTAAGTAAAGTTATTATTTCTGCAGGAATAAGTTAATTTTATATAAATTTAGTGTGCCCTCGATTTCATGCTAGCAATCGTCTTCATCCAATTGACATCGGTTCACTCCGTTAGTGGAACTAATTTTTTTGTTCCTTTCATCTTATTCAGGAGCGATCGGCCTCAGGTTATTGGTAATATTCTTGAGAATCATATTAACAACATTTTGCGTGAAAAGCGTGCTCGGTAAGTAACATTATTTAACGAAGTTGTGAGTAAATTGATCAGTCCTTTCTTGTGCATGTGGACAGAGAAACAATATTCGAAATCTTGTACGCACTCATGCCTATATGAAACAATAACTGCTAAATTACTCTTATTCTTTTTCTCTTCTACAGGATATCAAGTCTATATGACGCAAAGAAAATAGATATATCAGGAGAAATAGCTACAGTTGGGATAGGACATGATCGTGTAGAAAAATTAATTGAGATTCTGAAGTTAGGTTCAAAGGATGATGTGCGAGTTGTAGGGATTAGTGGGATGGGGGGAGTAGGGAAGACAGCTCTTGCCGGGGATGTCTTTAACAAAATCTCCCACCGTTTTGATTCTGCCTATTTCATCTCCATTCCCAGTAACAAAGACATGTTAAAAGAGGCATTTCTTCGGATAGCTTTCCCAGAAGAATTTGAACCTCAATATTCTGAAAGCCTAAGACTACTCTACAGGATGCTTGTTGTTTTTGATGATGTAGATCATCAGGGACTTTTAGATGAAGGATGGATTAGAGGTTTGTTTGGAGGAGGAAGTAGAATTATCATAACAAGCAGAGATGAGGGACTCCTTAGGTATCTTGGAGCAGATGAAATTCACAAGGTGGAACTATTGAATCAAAATGAAGCTCTTCGACTTTTCTCCAAAATTGTTTTCAAAGTAATAAACCAATGAGAGGTTATGAGGAGCTGACCCTTGATGCACTTAAATATGCCGATGGCCTTCCGTTGGCTATTTAAATCAGTGAGTTCATCGCTGGTTGGTCTAAGTGTTTCAGAGGGGAAAAGTGTGTGTTGACCAGGCTGCAAACGGATCCTGACTTTTCAATGATCGCGGTGCTTCAAAAAAGTTTTGATGGACTCTCATTGGAACGGAGAAAAGCTTTCTTGGATATTGCATGTTGCTTTGCAGGTCAAAAGACAGATTACGTCAAAGGAATTTTACGAACTGAATATCCTGGTCGTTATTCTTAAGACGACACTCATGCTCAAGGTCTTACGGATAAGTCATTGATAATCATATCAAATCAAATAATAAAAGTACAATCTATCCTAAACAATTGGCAAAAATAATTGTTCAACGTGAATCTTCTCAGCGTGGAATGCGGAGTAGGATATGGAATTATGCAGATTTTCATCATATTATGGAGACAAACACTGTGAGTTCTTCGTACTTCAATAGTCTTAAAAGTAAATTATTAGTTTAGCCCTTTAGTTATTTAGTTGTTAGTTTAGTTCATGAAATATCCCCCAACTTAGATAAAATATATTGCAAAACAAGATCCTTATTCATGTATCCTTATTGTAAGAAGTTTTAATTGAATATGAAACACACCTTAAAATATTAGTTGATAGGGATGGTTAAAACCCATCTGGATGCTTGCTATATGACATAAAGTAATGGCATATTGGACAGCATGGATATAATTAAGATAACTCTGTTCACCTTAATAACTGTATTAACAAATGGCCCAATTGATAAAGTTAACAAGGCCTTTATATTGATTTGATGGTAATTATTTTTCTAAGATTATATAGATGAAACGTATATATTTAGGAATTAGAATATTAGCTTATTCATTGTGTTTATATATAGATAGTTATTAATAATTTTGACTTTTCAATTTGCTCATGTAATATGTTTATATTCAGGGAACTAATCGTGTTGAAGTCATAGTGGCCTCAAATAATGAAGAACATCCACAATGGAGAACATTAAACATCGAAGGTTGTCAAAAATGAAGGGACTTAGAATCCTTATATTATGCGGTGTGAAATTTTCAGGAAGTCTGAGTGTTCTTTCTAACAACTTAAGATATCTTTCTTGGAATAAATATCCGTTTAATTATTTGCCGTCAAATTTTATTCCAACATATCTTGGAGAATTGATCATGCCAAATAGCAACATGACACAACTATGGAGAGACCAAGAGGTATTAATTTTCTTTACCTTAAATCGATCAAGACTAAATTGATTATTATCAACAAAGTTTTGCTTAATTTCTTATAATTTATTGAGTGAATCAGAATTTGATGATTGTTTGATTTGCTATCCAGAAAGATATTCCGCTGTTAAGAAGCTTGAACCTCTGTGGCTCTAAAGATCTGAAGGAGACACATAATTTTAGATTGCTTCCAAGTCTTGAGAGGTTAGACTTGGAAGGATGCACTTCATTAGTGCAGCTTCATCCTTCTATTGCGTATCTGACAAGGCTTAAGTTTTTGAATTTGAGAGACTGCACAAATCTAATAAGTATTCCAAATGAATTATTTGTCAAAAGCTCTCTTGAATTTCTAAATCTGGCAGGTTGCTCCAAATTTGCCCAATGTTTGACGTTTCCCGAAGTAAGTAACAACAGTGAGTTGTCTTTTCTTAGACTAATTAATGTGTTGGAATTGAAGTGATTTCAATGTCTCACTGTGATGGCCCCCAGCCGCACGAAGTAACGTTGTTGGTGGAAGCAGAGATCAAAAGCTCCCCTGAAGTACTATGTCGGGCTGCCTGGTTTGATAGAGCAAAAGTAAGTTGTCTTAGACTAATTAACAGCCTGTTTGGGAAGGCCAACAAATCGATTACTTTGGTCAAATAATTAATTTTCATAATAATTACCTAAACAGCAGAATCTTAATAATTGATTATTTGAGTCAGAATCATATTTTAAAATAAATTCTGAAAGAATACTTATAGATTCAATTTTATTATTAAATAATATATTTTATTTTTTAAATAAAGTTTAACACATTTAATAATATTAAATACAGTTTTATCAATGACTTAATTTTAAAAAGTAATGTTTTAATAGTAATTTGTATAGTTAAAATTAATTTTAGTATTCAAATAGATTGTGTTATAATACAATTAATTATAATTAAAATTAATCATATTAATCAATAATTAATTATATTTAATTGAAATCTAAATGGCCCTGTAAGTGTTGGAATGTGAGTGATTTCAATGTCTCACTGTGATGGCCCCCAGTCGAGCGAAGTATTGTTGTCGGTCAAGAAAAGGGCGAAAATCAAAAGCCGTCTTAAAGTTCTAAATCGGGCTGGTTTTTTCAATGGAGCAAAAGCAAGTTGTCTTTTCTTAGACTAATTAATGTGTTGGAATTGAAGTAATTTCAATGTCTCACTGTGACGGCCCCAGCGAAGAAAAGCAGAAATGGAGGGAGCATCAACATCGGACCGAACTCATTATAAAAAATGGAAGGCTGCAGCAATTACTGAAGGGATTGTAAGTAGTTAAATTTATGATTAATTATTTTTGAAGATAAATTAATTACTTATTAATTACTTAACTCATATATTATATGATTTACTTTAGGAGCAAGCTTCCACGAGTTCACAATTCGCGTTTTTGGAATTGAGAAGACGAATGTTAGTGGATGAGTTCTATTCAAAAATGAGATCAATCCTTGGTGACAAAAGTAAGGAATGTGCTCGATCCAATATGCGATAAGAGGTTTGACGAAAGGTTGGGTTGGAATTTCGTAAATCGCATTAATGCATAACATTTGCCTTTGTTATGGAGCATTTCTATTTTATAATTATATCCAATCACATACATTATTTGTGGTGTCTCAGACTTCGACACATTATTTTACAATGTGATAGTCAGCCACATATATTTAGCAAAGACAATTGATTCAGAGCTGACAGGCAAATTAAAATAGATTTATTGATATTTGGCATGTAGTCCATGTTACAGTTTATTGATATTTTTTTTCTTAAAAGCCTAGATTAACAAATTAAAATTTATTTAGATGATGTAATTCAAAAATAGATTTAGATGTACAAGAATAAAAAAGGATACGATTTTCATTATATATATATATATTGTGTTTAGGGAAAATTATATGTAGGTCTCATGGAGCAGATTTATTTACTAATTAATCTCAAGAAATTCAAAAATCATAATCAAGTCCCTTGAGACTTAAGTGAAATTTGAAATTAAGCTACAAAGATAATAATACGCTTATTAAATATATATTACATCAATCAAATAATTAATTTATAGTTAATTCATCATAATTTACAATTGTAACTTTCCATATCAAATAGTTAAACTAGCATATGTTACTAACAACGTTTAATATTAATTGTTTACAATAATTTTATCAATAATTTACAACTATAACATTAACTTTCTACAACTGTAAATTCACATATTCAATAATTAAAATGATTAATTTAATTATTGAATATATAAAGTTACAGTTGTAAAAAGTTAAAATTTTAATTGTAAATTACTGATAAAATAATTATAATTATTTGGCTAATATAATGTATATATATTTAATAGAAACATTGTTGTCTTTTCATCCCAATTTTAAATTATACTCAAGTACCAAGAGTCCTAATTATGGTTTATAAATTTTGTGGGATTTATTTGTTAATAAGTTTTCTTCACGGGACTTATATATAATTTTTCCTTGTGTTTAATTTGATCTCTCTTAAGAAAAATATTAAAATTTAAATTAAATTTTAAAAATAAAAGAGAGTGAATATATAATTAAGTACTCCCTCCATCCCAAATTACAGGGTATTTTTGAAAGAGTTTCTTCATCTCAAAATATAAACACTTTGAGTAAATTAAGATTTCATTAAATGCATCAATTTTAATATTACCCTTCTCTCTCTATAATTATTTTCCATCCTTTTTCTTTTCAATGTATTAATTGATGTGTATTTTGAGAAGTTTATATTTTTGTTTTAGAAAGATAAGGTTGTTAAGTGTATTTAATAAGATTTATTGGTATGTAAAATTTTGTCTAAAAGTGTTTTATGATTTGGGATGGAGAGAGTATTATTTTTAAATTAAAAAATTGAAATAAATTAACTGTTGGTAAAAAAAAATTGAATTGCATTTCAATGCTCCAGCATTATATCTCAACCTAACCTTAATGAGTAACAAATACCAGTTTCTTGGACCAACCAAGGGTTTAAACCAAACACGCCATAAATATATGGAGAAATTGCCTCATTTTGAGTTGCTTAGAAATCTTGAGGGGTTAAATTTTGAAGGATGAACTTCACCATCACAGCTTGATTATTGTACAGCTTTCAAGGCTCAAGCATCTAAATTTGAGAAACTGCACAAGTCTGATGATCAGTATTTCAAATGAATTATTTGACCAAACCACTCTTCAATTTTGTTGGCCAAGAAAAAGGAACTCTCTTGAGTTTCTAAATCTAGATGGGTGCTTGCAATTGCCCCAGATGCTTGATTTTCAATTAACAGTTGAAGAACATTGCCTCCTATCTCACTAAACAATAGTTAGTTTTTCTGCTAAGTGTCCAACTTATAGTATTTTAAATTTGAGCATGAATGGATCTTAAATTTTAGTTTTTTAATTGCATATTGTATTAAGAAATGGTTTTATCCATTTAATGAAACTATGAACTCAAAATCTCGCAATTACTTCACTTTAAAAAAAAAAAAACTGAAGTACGTTAAAAAAATATATATTACCAAATTGACATTCTCTGAAATTAAATTCACTTCCTCTGCTTTCAGTGCAGAGTTTATGAAATACTACATTACAATGAGTCTCCCTTCTTCGTGCGTAGCATGATCCTCATAGATTTGATAAAACTGCCACCCCCAATGTAATGAACCAAAAAAAAATTCAAGAATTTCAAACAATGTAATAAATTTTATTTAAGCATCAAAAGAGAAGCTGATGTAAATTTAAAAAATTTAAAATAAAATAATTAATTTTTCTTGATAATTTAACTTAAATTGTAATAACCTAGGAATTTTAGTATAATTAAAAAATTTTAATTGTATTTTACTTAAAGTTTTGGGAGTAAATGAAATAAGAGGGATTTGTTGTCGGAATCTTGTGTGCAGCCTATCACAAGGTTTTGGGTTCAAATACTCGTTGAACTAAAGAAATTTTACTTTTTGATGTTACGTAATTACTGAAATGCCATCTATATATATATATATATATATATAACAGTATAACAGCACGCACACATGGCATCATATGATATTATATCATCCCCATCTTCGTTTTTTCTTTAGCAACGTGAGAGAGAGACAAGTAGATTGATATCCAAAAGCTTCATTTTCATCCTTGTTTCTCCATCATTCCTCTCCCTTCAGTGTTCTTGTCCGGCACTGGCGACCGGGATTATTTCTGTCTGTGAGTTCTTCCTCGTTTCAGCATCACTAGATCTCTCTCCTCATCCCCTGTTTGTGTCATTTTGTACTGCGACAGGAGGGGAAAAATAGAGGAGTAGAGTTTTGATTGGCTAAATCGTTGAGGGGGGAAGAGCTTCTACTATTTAGGTATTATTCTTGCATTCTTTGGTTGTGTATTGATAAAAGGCTGAATAATATAATCTGATTTTTTCCCTTCTCTTTCAAATATAAATTATGTTTATAAATTAAAGGATTTAATTTGAAGAATAAATTTAAGAATTAGTAAACCATGTGAAGATTTGTTGTTCTGTTTATGTCAATTGAATAAAGAATTGAGAAAGTAAGAAGTTTATTATATTGACTTATTTTGTCTCATACATAAGGTGTTTGTTAAAATGTTTGAGTGAAAAATTTTGTTCAAATGAGTGGCAAAACCTTACTAAATTAATCATAATTAATTTTAGTGTTTGGGTCACTTGTTTTTGTATTATTATACACAAATAATTAGGTGAATGTGTGAATATTGTATAACTATTAGAAGGATGTAGTTTGAAACCTTTTGAAAGTAATTTTGTAAGGATCAAGATGGATGGTAGGTGGTAATTTGTAAGTGTTTGAATGTGACAAAATTTTAAAGTATATTTTGAGTAGCTGAAGCATATTTGAACGTGATGTTTGAGAAATATTAAAGTTTTATCTTTAGAATACTTGCAGAGTGTTTGATGCAAAAGAAAGATTGAATTTAAATTTTTTTATTTTATTTGTAAGAGCCCAGCAATTTTAAGCAAACATTTAAAATTGTAATATTGTGTTTTAATGGTAATTCTATTGATTCTTGGAACAAGTGTGACAAGAAAAAGCTGATATAGTGGTAGCTATATAAGTACTATTTTAACAAGTCCCAAGTTTGAATCTAATGGAGGCCAAAGGGATATCTATTTTTTTTTCTCTCTTTTACTTTATGAAATTACCAAATTGCCCTCCTTCGAATCTGAACATATTTCCCCTCTTGCTCGATTTTCTGGATCTGTGAGAAGAGAGAAGATCTGATTCAGCCATTTCTCCATCTTTCCTTTGCACTTCGTCTCTTCCCTCCTGTTTCTGGTGGCCGCCGGCGGAAGTGGAGCCTCGTTGTAGCTGTGCAAAGCTCAAGTCCTCCATCGTGTCTCCCTGACTCTATTTGTCTTCTTTGGTTGTTGTTCTGTCTTCATTGTTTGCATTCAGGGTTGCTAATGGGGGTGTGAAACCGAGTTGCAGGAGCTACTGGTGGTGCTATTGCGAGCTTGGTCCAGTGCTGTTGATTCAGTTTCCTTCCTCTCTTGAGAGATGTGTTCAGTTTTCCCTCTCCCTTGTGCAGCAATCTAAACCATCTCCTTTCTCCTTGCTTCTGCCGTGGATCTAAAGTGAAGCACTTCACATTTCTCTCACTTTTCTTGTTCTAAATCTCTGTTCATGTTAGGAGTGACAAGAATTTATGATTTCCTCTTCCTTATTCATCTGTAAATCTCATCTTCTCTCTTTGTTCAGCTGGTAGCCTCTTGTTCTCTTCCTCCTCTGCTATTATTGGTGATTAAGGCGAGAATTATTGACCATTACTTCTTGATGAGCCTATGTGAAAGAGTGTGAGTTGATGACTAAAATTATAGAATTTTTGTGCCTGTTCTGCTGCTGCCTGTACTAATGCAAGGAGAAGATTCAAATTTGAGTTGGGAATTTATCTTAAAGCTTGGTAATGATACACACACATATGGGTCATAATTTTGAAGTTAAATTAATTTTGTTTGGATTGGTTGATGTTAAAGAATTTATTATGGTGAAATTGGAAGAGGATAGCTTAGATATAAAATTAAATATTAGTACCTATGAGATGCTTGTTGAAATGCGTGTTAAAAGAATTGAACTTAATGTTAAAATTTTATTGGTTCTTGTAGAAAGTAAAGTTAGTTCAGATGTTAATTTATAAATTTAACTTGAAAGTTGCGAATGACATTTGACTATGAAAGATGTGATTATTAAAAATTTTGGAGATCGATAGTTTGTTGAGAAAATATTTAAATGTTATAGTTGATTATCTGTGAAAATGTTGAAAAGGAATTATTATATAGGTTGATATTTGAATAAAATTTTAATATGATTTATAGGGTGTTTGAAAGAGGAGAAATTTGATTAAGGTGGAGAGGTAAAAATTGAATTTTGTGAATTTTAGATAAGTGGATAGCGTCTCAACTGATTCTTTAATAAAATTTCCTTCCCTAAAATTACCTTTTTTATACCAAATCATTTTTATTTATACCAATGATGTGATTATTAGACAATTTGTTGATTAGACTATTTTATTTTGTGAAATTAGCATTGTCAGTTTTAAATGATAGTTAATCAATAACTACAAGTTTGAACTTTGATTATAAGATTTTAATTAATCAATATTGGATTGATATAGAAGAAGATTCATGCGAGTTTGACATTAAAAATAAAAAGTAATTATTTTCTTATATGTTTAAAAT